AGATGTGGAGATTTCAGCGGAATGGGACCTGCTGTAGTTTCACACAGGGAAGCCGATATGGAGCTGGATATGGATATGTGCAGCAAAGGCAGTCACATATATGAACTCGGGAGAAGAAAGTATCACAAGGCCAAGAAGGACACCATCGCCACAGCAGAGGCAACCAGACATTTGTAACTGAAAAGAGACAAGGGTTATGTTTGCTCTGTTTCTTAAAGCTGAGAGAATTAGTCCACCAGAAGACGCTTAGAACCACCATAAAAGGTGTAGCTGCAGACAAAGTTCACTTCAGTTTGTCTGTCTCCAGGCAGCTGGGATGAATTCCACCAGTTCAAACTGTCTGGGACTTCAGCAGCAGAGCTGAGGTTTTAGAATAGCCTCCAGCCCTGCAGCTAATTGGGATCAGTAGGAAAACAGTTATATTAGCAAATACACAAACACTACCATTATACATCCCTTCAACAACACAACATCTCCAGATACGAAGTAGGAATTAAAGATCTGGTTCAACTACCATTATTTCCATTAAGTGCATATTTCCAGTTCCATAAGTCTAGATAAATATTTCCATGAGGGAAGTCAGAAGTAATTCCAGAGGTAGATGTAATTTAGCAGGAAAAGCCTATCCCTTTACGCAGCAGAACAAGAAAGCCTTTACAAAATTCTTCACATGGTTATCACTTTACTGCTCAAGCAAAGTGAAATATGTGAATTGCTTCATGCTAGCCTGTGCAAACAAGCGTTTCTTGAGAAGGCTCACTGATCTGGCACGCTGTATTTGTCAAATGGTTTAAAGATAACAGCATGGGGTGTTTTTTTTTAAAAAAAAAGCATCGTTTACATAAGCAAATTCCACCTCAAAGGACATCTAAATGCAACCCCTTCTCTCCCCCACCACAGAAGGCCACCTCAAAAACAGAAGGCAGCAATTTTCCGAGAATGCCACAAAGGGTTTTATCTCAGTAAGGACTCTCGAGCATTGAAGGAGCCAAAACATTGCTCATTTTCTTTTCAAGTTGCAGCCCAAAACTATTATTGTTACCACAAGGACTTTTAGCCTACTGACGCACAGAGATTAGCAACTCGCAGCTCAGATTGGCGATAACCTCACATTAGGAGTCTAATATTTTCTCCATCTGTCTCCCAAACATAAGAAGGAAACTCCCATATCAAATGTACTGTTGCATGAAAGGAAAAATAAAATGTACCAGAGCCACAAAGTAATTTACTAATCACAAGCAATCCATGTGATTTATGCCTAAATCAGTCTCCAAACACCACGTCTGATACATCTAAAAGGTTTTCATCTTGACGTTTAAGCACTTTTCTTGAGTGTGACTTCACATTAGTTACCCTAAGTGCCAAGGTGCCATTATTAGCTAAGGATGGGGCAGAAAAAAGAAGGACTTATTAATAGAACTGCCTGGGAAACAGGAAGCTTAGTTGATTTTCCTAAAAATTACACAATGCGGAAGTTTTGGAGCCAGCTCTCTGAGGACTGTTCCCGCATGTTTAACTGGAACTTGAAGAGTTTTGAACTCTGCATCCTCCTTCTTAACAGATACTTTTCACACTGCTGAAGGGGATGCTCTGCAATACTAACAAAGCTTTGCAAACTCTATTCAACTAACCGGCCGCTTTCTGTGCGGCGGAAGAGAAGGCAGAGGAAGTGAAGGGCTGAGGAACAATACTGACAGAGAAGGGCTTCAGCAGAAAGACAGGATTGTTAAGCAGCATCCAGAGAGCGCTTCCCTCCGACAGAGCAGCTCCAGTCCCCGCAGAACGCGTCCTCTCCGCCGCTCCCGCAGCGTGGCAAGCAAAGAAACTATCTGCTGGGAAGTAAAAAAACGCATTTTGTTTTATGGTGCATCCTCCCAGCCTGGAGAACGTCAGGCTGGATTGAATAACATGCCCGGGGAGGAAAAGGGAACGCAAACCGAGCTGGACATGCAGGCGTAAGCACAGAACGTTCTGGTGGATGAGAGACTTGCCAGCAGTAAAAGATTCGGCACCCACGGGTGGCAGCAGGTCAGCCTTTCACAGGGCATGCACAGGTGATTTATATGGTATAATCAGATTTCATTAGCGAAAGGCACACTGCAGAAAATCACCATGGCACTCGCGTTATTTTTAGAAGTGGCACAACTAAACCACTCACAAGAGCCTCAGGCTGCCAAGGAATTCTCATACTTTACAGCAGCAAGGAGGATGCCAACCAAAAAGAAATGTTAGAAGTTAAGATGGTGGGGGCTGAAAGTTAGAAAGGAACTAGCGACTCCGGAAAGGATGGTTACATGCAATTAAAGCACTCAGACAAATTGGGGCACCACTCCCAGAACAGGGAGATAACTAAGAACTGTCACTTGGGATGTCTTTTCAGTGACTCAGAAGTTATTCCTTAAACTTTTCTTCCTTCCTTCCTACAGGATTGAGGCACTCTGAGACGAGACAACACATCCCTGACTGCACCCATGTGGTGATTTGCTGCCCTCCCAAGATACTCAGCTTTTTTTATGGTTCTGCATATAAAATAGCACGAGACCAGGCAGGGACAAACTGTGTGTTGAGGACAAACTCGTTACTCTGATTCATACAGGTGTAAATGACACTAATCACAGTTAAATAGAGCAACATCATGTTGAACCTTGAAGCCTGGAATGGCCAGTGAACAGCAGCACACAAAGAGCTGCGTGATCACAAAAGGGCACAGCTCTCCCGAAGCAGAATGTTTTATGTACTCTGTCTGCAAACCTACAAACACAGAAGCCTCCCTGCATTTTAAGATATTTCAAACCCCTTAAAACAGACAAGTGAGTTTGGCTAGTATAAGCCATCTTGGGCAAGAAACTTGAGTAGCACCACGGTGCCAAACAGACCAATGTGAGGAAACGCAGTGATGCAACGAGAGCTCCACAACCACCTGACTGCACCTACCCCTCCCAAAAAAATCTTTTACCACTCAAGTAAGCACACAAGCTCCCTACCCCTCGGACCTGGGGAAAGAAGGTTTTCTTTTCTGGTTCTTCCTGCCCCAGCAGTAAGCTTCAATCTTAAATGTCTGCAGTTAACGCCGTACATGGTTACAGGTAGCGAGCAAGCCGATTCCCCGGGGTTAGTGCTCACTCCAGCGGGGGTGGCTGCTTTCAGGGAAGGAGCCAGAAACGCCCCAACAAGCCGAGCAGCGGCATCTCCCATCGCACACACGCCGGCGGCCACTCGGGCTCCCCGGTGACCAGGAGCCTCCCCGGGTGCCAGCGCTGCCATGCCACAAGCAGGCGCCTGCTGCCACCCCGAGCCCGGCGGGTCGCCCCCGCGGGCCGAGGCGCTTAACGGCTCTCCAGAGCCCACCTCCCGTGCCGGGGGCGGCGGAACCGGGCTCTAGAGGCCGCCCAGCGCTGAGGGATGAGGAGGGCGGCCAGAAGCTTCAGCCTGGAGAAGAGAAGGCTCCGGGGAGACCTTATAGCGGCCTTTCAATACCTGAAGGGTGCCTATAGAAGAGCTGGGGAGGGACTCTTTGCCAGGAAGGGTAATGATAGGACAAGAGGAAACGGTTTTAAATTGGAAGAAAAAAGATTCAGATTAGATATCAGAAAGAAATTTTTTACTATGAGGGTGGTGAGAGCCTGGCCCAGGTTGCCCAGAGAAGCTGTTGCTGCCCCATCCCTGGAGGGGTTCAAGGCCAGGCTGGATGGGGCTTGGAGCAACCTGGTCTGGTGGGAGGTGTCCCTGCCCAGGGCAGGGGGTTGGAACTCCATGAGCTTTGAGGTCCTTCCCAACCCAAACCGTTCTATGATTCTATAAGCTCCCTCACCCCGCGGGAAGGGGCCTGTGGAGCCCGTCCCGGCCCAACCCCGCCGCCCCCCGCCGCTCACCAGGAGGTCCAGCTCGGTGCGGTGCAGCCCGAGGCGGCCCAGCCCCACGGCCAGGTCGTGGATACAGAGCGCGCCGTCGCGGTTCACGTCGAGTTTCTGGAAGAGGGCGCGGAGGCGCCGGTCCTGCTCGGAGGCCTCGCACACAGACCGCCCGCAGGGGCTCGCGTTCCCGCCGCTGCCGCCGCCCTCCGTCCCGGGGCCGGGCGCCGCGCCGGGGGCCCGCGGGGAGCCGCAGGGGCAGAGCACACCGCTTACTACCGGGGAGGCCAGCGAGCGCCGCGCTCCCGGCATCGTCCCGCCGCCCGCCCTGCCCGCTCCTCACACACGCCGGCAAATGGCGACGCTTCCGCCGCCAGCAACCGACACGGAGCGCTTCCGCCTTCGCGCCACAAGCCGCCGCCGCCACGTGACGCGGGGCGCCGGCCAATGGCAGCGACCCGCGCGCCGGCGTAGGCTGCACACGCCCCCGCCGACACCCCCCCCCTCGGCCTCCACGCGCTCCCGCGAGGTGGGCGTGCGCTGACGTCAGAGGGACGCCTTTCCCCTGCACCAATCGAAAGGAAACGCCGCTCGGGGCGGGAGGGGGGGAGAGACAAGCTCCTGGGACAAATCTCTATTGGTTAAAGCGCCGAGGGAGGCGGGGATAAAGCCACAATCTCTCTAATCAGCTCGGGGATTGGCCGCCAATTTGGGCTTGACGGACGCGGCGTGTATCCGGTAGCTTCCACAGCGGGGGGCGCTCTGTGTTGAAGTAGCCAATGGAATTAGAGCGGGGAAACTCATGGGCGGGCCCAGCCCCGCGCAGGCCTCGCGCAGGCCCCGCGCAGGCCCAGTGGCCTGAAACAAACGGCGAGGCGGGACCGTCTCGGCCCCCCTGACGGGCAGCCCGGCTGGCCAATGACGGCGCGGCGTTGTGGGGGGCAGGCGAGATCTATGCCTGACGGGCGGGCGAGCTGCCCAATCGGACGAGGGAGGAAAGGGGGCTGATTCTGGAAGCCATTACGCCAGTGTCGCAGGGTGGAGGCCGTTGAGCGGGGTTTGCTGGGTGACCGCGGTACGCAATTTGCGTATCGT